AGAGACAAAGGCCTGGTTCAGCTCCAGCAGGATGCCTGCCTTTTGTTCCCTTGCATACCCCTGGGGAAGAGGAAACTTCAGGCCCTGCAAGAGAAATAGAGAGAAAAAAACAACTAAGGGGTGAGCTCGTCCACTGCTGTCAACCGGCTTCAACCCAGGCATATCCACCGACCAATGTTCTGGCAATTTCATCCCGAAGTTCCGCCTGCCAACATCCACTGGCTTCCACCAATAATATCAACCCATTCATCTCTTCCACTCCACTTCTGAAGCCGGCCTCCGCCAGCTCCCAAATGCCTGGGTCACACTCACGCCCCGGCGACATTCCCACAGAATGCCAGCCAGCCCATTCACACATACATTGATATACACACAGGCACAAACCAGCTGCTCCCGCCAACACTCACTCACCTTCACCCCACCAGCCATTCACACACATGCCTGGGCTTCCATCCACCGATATCCACCAAGCTTCCCTAAGCTAGCTTGAGGAGGCTAACATCCACCACTGGCTTCATCCACCAACCTCTGCCAGCCTCTGCCTTGCGGCCTCAGCCAGCTTCTGTAGGGAGATTCCACCAGTTTGTCTGCCGATGCCCACCAACTTCCCCCTGGTCCATTCCAACGGATCTCCACCAGCCTCGAGCTGTTAACTTGCAAGCCCAGTTAGAAAGTTCCTCTGCTTTCGGAAGAGAACTTGCCTGGGGCAGAAGGGCTGGGTCCCCTCCAGCCGCTGCCGCTCCCTCTGTTGGACTGCTCTCTGGCCACTAGCCTCCCTTCTGGTCTCCTGCCCTGCCCAGCAAGCCCCTTTTATCTGTCAGCAGAGAGGTGGGGCCTCTGTGAGGGGACAAAGACCCAGGAGCAAAGGGGTTGGGTTCCCATGGCGACAGCAGCAGCACCCTTGGGATTGGCTGAGTCCTGAAGATGTCAACAGTCCCTCTGATTATGTGATTCACCCACAAGAGCTTGCATTTTGCATGATTTTTTAAAAAAAAAAATTATTAGTGGCCTATAAAAATGTATCCCCTGTCACCAATCCCTCTGATTGTTAAATCTCCCCTTGTTGGCCTTCTGACAGGATTCTAGGCTGGTGCTCCAAAAAGTTATTTTCCAGCATTTGCACCAAAAGGAACTTTTGTGGGATTGGAGAACCAGTAATTATTTATTTTTAAATACCACTTATAAGAAAAAACAAACAAGCATTTAACCCTTTCAGTGGAGGAGCAGTTGTTTTTTCTAAACTAAAACCTTGGCATTCAGGTTTTAATTGCAGTATTGGCACTCTGAAAAAAAAGAAGTTGATTTTGTGTTGCAGTTTGGGCACTCAGGCTCAAAAAGGTTCACCATCACTGGCCTAGGTACTACCATTGTCTCTTTGGCATCTGCATCACAATGCCACCTAGGACAGTCATTGTTTTCACATTTTATATGCTCATCACACTGAGACCAGCTACAGTTACTGACAGGCAAATGGTGTCTCTTGGTTTTATGACTGACCACACTATTTATTGATGTTGTATACAATTAAATTGGGCTATGCTCCATAAAACCTTTTGCCACAATAATTATGTAAGTGCTCAAGATGTCAAAAGATTTCTATATTTAAAATTCTACTTTGAAAGATGAGTGCAAACCGTACTTTGCTCAGTGAGTCAAACAGCCACTTTATGTTTGTTTCATTCATTCTGGTTTATGTGCAACTAATGATATTTTTTTACTCAATTTTAGTCCTGTAAATGGGCAGTGACCATGCTGAAACAATAAGTTTAATTTCAATTCAGATGAGAAAATACAAAAACACATTAAAATGGTCATTTGAAAGGCCCCTCTTTATTGAAGCAGGAGGACAGAATTCAGTACCTCCTCCTTAGTTCCACAGTTCCAGTTTTCTTCCAGTCTTCACAGTCTGTTTCCATTGAAGTCTGAAATCAGGGGAAATGTTCTAGAAGCTTTGGGTAGTGGAAGATTCCTTTTTCCTCTATGCAAGTGGGATAGTTCTTTTAATCTTTGAATGGAGACTTTATAGATTCATTGCTAAGGCTTATGCTAGGCAACTGGATTTTCTGTTGAATCTAGCACCAGCAGCAAATTAAATTGTTTAATTTTTTTATGACAGAGTACTGTTGAGTTTAGTTTTGAATAACAATATTTATGAAATAGAAATCTTTACTATTACTATTTACTATTTTTACTATTTTACTTATCATGGTAAAAGTATAAACTAAGAGTGAATGTCAGTGCAACAATTAGTCCTGATCAAGTTGATCACAGTGGAGACCCTTGGGCTAAACACTACTTTGGAAGGCTTAAAGTAATTGTTAACTTGCTTTCTTTTTAGTGTTAATTTACCCTATATCCCAGCAATGCTTTGGGGAGCTGATAACTCAGAAAGATACCTATTTATTATTCATTGTGCCATGTGTACAAAATAGTATTTTGCTAAACATCTTTACTCAGTATGTTCTTCCTCCTTTTTTCCTCCCTCAAAAGCTCAGCTTGGAGACTACAGTCCTTCCATCCATCTTCCAGGATATCTTTCAGACTATTGCTTCACACCAGAACAAAATAAAGATTTTTTATCTAAAGTAGAATCATTACATGAACAGCACAGGTAATTCCCCCCCCCTTTTTTTCTTCATTTAAAGATTTATTGTTTGCACGTACATAAGAAATAGTCTCCATTTCATTCCTCCCTGTCCTTCATCCATTTACCACTCCCCCCATTGTGTTCCCAGTGTACGTGGACATGATTATAATGTTAAAAGTAAATAATAAAATATAAAAATTAATACATGGAAAATGATATAGCCCCTGAAATTTATACAGAGTTAACTTCACCTCCAAAGAAGAGCATTGGTAGATGACCCTTGGATTAAATGTGCCCCTGAGATGTTTTCTTGAAGATCTTCACCAGTTTCAGTCATGTTTGTGCTCAGAATGTGAAAGTAAACAACAGTCCATATGTCCTAAGGAATGATGGTTTGTGTCTGAGAACACAGATGCATGCTTTAAGTCTTTAAGAAGAGGGAAAGGAGGGAACAACACTAACCAGTCTTAATGGTAGCTAATGCAGTCTTCCACTGAGCTGGTAAATACTTCTAGTTCTATTTTTCACTTGCATCTAATTAGATCTGCATTTGGAAGATGTAATAAATAAATACAGAAGAGGACTACATGTGGGTGTGGATTGGCCTGTGATAATGCAAGTCTATAATTTAGAGAGGGAGTACTCTGTTGCTTGCAGGCGAGTTGCTAAAAGAAGGTACTGATGAAGTTGCTAGTTTTGCTGAATATTTGGACATGGAACAAGTACAGTAACAATTTGCATAAAGCTGTGGTTCAGTCCTTACTACAGAAAATTATTTTACTTTATGGACATCATGGTATTTCTTTCCATTATCATAAGAGCTGTGGGGACTGGACAAGAAATATTTGTCCATAAACAAATTAGAATATGACCTATTCACTTAAAATATTCTCAGTTTTTATTCTTCCTGAATTCTTTAAATCTATGTTTTTTCATGTGCATTCAGACATGAGACACAATAGTACCTGTGAAAAACAGTTGACCAATTGGCCTATTGTGGTAAATCCATCACCACTTCACTTCTGACCATAAAAGTGAGGAAACTGTTCTGATTTTTCTTTGAAATTATGTTTTGATTGTATTTAAATAAAATAATGGTATTTTTAAAAATGTCATAGAGAGATGATGAATTACTGTAATAATGTATTTTCTTTGATGTGTTTTGTTTCCAGTGGCCTTAAGCAATCAGAAGCAGAATCCTGCTACATTAACATAGCAAGAACTCTTGAATTCTATGGAGTGGAATTACACAGTGGTAGAGTATGTTTATAGTGCTGTTTTTATATTTCAACATTTTGTATTCTTAAACTGACTCCATTGATGATAGTATAAATTCATTACTTCCAGACATTAATCTGAAATTGCAATTAGGAATTTGCGGTACTGCCAGTTTTCAAGTATTTCAAATATTCTTGTGTTTTCCTTTGTATTTTTTAAATAGTACAGCAACAGGTTCTTAATGTGCAAGTCATCCATCTTGTGCAGATATGTAGTTTTTAGATATAATTTCAGACAGATATGTTGGAATATACTGGCTGCCTTAGATATCACAATTATGAACTTAAAATTTCGACAGGAGAACTCGTATAACTGATTTGTTGGAAAACTGACAGTCCCAGATGAAAAGAACAAATTTTGCTTTGTGCATGGCCCATTTAGCGGGTTTTAAAAACTGTATCTATGTAGATTTTCAGACCATACCTTTCCCACTCTCACCTTGTTACTAACAAAGTACCTCAATGTTAAAAGAGGCTTGCTGTGTGATGTGGGGCTGCTGTTCGGGAAACTCTAGACCAAACATTCCATGGGCATGCAGAATTTTCTGTACTTTTGTTTTTATTCTTAATAAATAATAGCATAACTAACATAGCATTAATTGCTACCAAACCTATTTATATTTATTTTATTCTCATAGAAATCAGTGGGAGTTATTGGCTTGCCTGAGTGAAATAGAACAGATTGCAGTTTGTGGGACTGAACTAAACATGAGCAAAAGATCTATGATACTGGCAAATCATCACACGGCTGAGTTTCCGGGGGAGAATAATATGTTTACCTCAGACTTTAGAGACACAACCTGTCCCAGATACTCATAGCCACAGTGGCTGGGAGGCCTCATATATTGTCAGTGGTCTCAACTACACCTCATTTGATTTCTTCATATACGTAAATTATAAGTAGTAAGTAAATAGTAATTAAATAGCACTCTCTACTCATATCTTGTACCCCAGTAAATACCTATACACTACTTAGGAAGGGAAGCTAAGCCAAGGAAGAGCCATGCTTACACATGTTGTCGTTGGTGCTTTGTCAGTTTTAGTTTTCTTCTGTAGAATGTTGGAGGTAGTGATGTGTGCTGACAGCATTCCATCTTGTACCATGTACTGATTCTGGTCAATAGTCTGTTAACAAACAGGAATTTTCCATATATGCGGAAAATATTTTACATGAATAGGTGAAGAAGAAGAAGAAGAAGGAAAAAAAGGAAAGGGAGCAGCCACACATAGAAAATTGTCAATTAGTCTTTTAAGGGCATGAAATGATGTCAGTTTCAGGAGAGAGGAAACAAAGGGAAGAAATTGCCCTACATGACATCTTATAGAATCTGGCAAGTGTGGATTAGAGTCAGAAGACTGCATGCCATGAGATTTAAAAAACAAAACAAACCTACACTCTGGGAAGGAATGTTATGAGGAATGAATGTATACCTTTTTTCACTCTCTTTGAACCTCTCCCTACCTCCCAACTCAAACCATGATAAAATATTCCTGTTCCAGACAGGCTGAAGTCAGGGGATGATTCTACTAGGAATTCTGGGTATCTTCTACCTTTTTTAATGATCCACACTTACTTAAGTAGTCTCATTACAAAGAGGTCGGTGTTGGTTGCAGTATTGATGATTACACTGCAGGATACGATGGTGGTTGCACAAAAACTCTGGACTGGTTAGTACACAATATGCCATTATGTGGCCACTTCATTTTGTAGATATCTATATTGTCTTCTGTCAAGTATAAAAACTAGTTACCTCCTGATCTATTTGGAGACATTTATTCCTCATTCCTACATAAAACTGAATTTCCTACATAAAAATTTGTTTTTGCCATTACTAGTTTGCAATTCCTAGTACTACAGCTTTCGGTTCATCTGTTTTTTCCCTGTGGTCTTATTTTTAGGATTTGCATAATCTTGACCTTATGATTGGAATTGCTTCAGGAGGTATTGCTGTATATAGAAAGCTCATCTGCACAAGTTTCTACCCCTGGTAAAATGTTTGCTTTCTAATTCATGTGTGAATAAAAATGAAAGATTAGAATTCAAAATAATGCATCCCTTGTTCTCTTAAGACTTCTCACTAGAGATGGGATATTCATATTCGTCTCCCGGGCCCTTTTGACCCTCTCCCCAGAACTGGCTGGTCCACTCACTGGGCTTCGCTTGGTGCAGGGTGCCATTGATGGTAACATTGCACCAATTGTGGAAATAGCCCAGCCGGTACTTCCTTTCCTTCCTTGACCTCCATGGCACCTGTGGTGTTGTGCTTCATTATTCATATCCCCCAGGATACAAGCACAAAGCTCCCATGTCTACTTCTGACAGTGATGTGTTTTGTTTTGTTTTTTGAAAATATCAGTAGGGATTTCTTTTTTCCCTGGGCCTAAACAGAATATAGTCTGCTAAACTCGGAGTCTCTCTTCCTCCATTACCTCCGTTCTGTGTCTTTATACTGTTTAGGAGGTCCACACAAGCCTTTGGAGATGTTTTGGGTAGTATAAGTGGCCACAAGTTTGGAAAAGGCATTAGAATCCATATAACCTACTTATTGATGGTGCTTTAATCATGTTAATTTGTTTTAGACTATCCCTATGTTATATTTTCTTTTTTCTTAGGGTCAATATAATTAAAATTTCTTTTAAGAGAAAAAAGTTCTTTATCCAGCAGCGGCAGAAACATGTAAGTATGTTTGTATAGGGGTTTCCCTCTTATATAACCTCCTACTTTTTCCTCTCCTCTTATAATTTTTAAAATGTGGTTGTTATCATTCTACTACTACTACTTCATATGTCCTTATCAATTTATTTTAACATACCATTTAATTAAACATACATTTAAAAGCTTGCTTGTCTTGTCGCGCCAATTGCAGAAGTAGCCTGGCCAGCGCTGTACTCTCTGTACTGCTGAGCCCTCAGCAGTTGAGCAGGGAAATTCGTCATCTTGCCTCCTTGCTGAAGTGGTCAGCAGTGCAGGGAGGCGGGGAAGCGCTGGCTAGACTACTTCTGTGATTGGTGCAATGTTACTGTGAACTTGCAATACTCTTCTATTCACGGACATTACTCACACATGCCTTATGGTCATCTCCAGGAGCAGCTCCCACAGCTACTTACCCTTTGCTTGTAGCTATGGGCTGAAAACTGCTAGTCAATTCACTGCACTTGTCACCCTTCACTTCTGACACATGTAACATTTAAAGGATCGTAAGCATAGCTACAAAACCATATTGTAGCCTGGACTCAACGTATATCTGCAGAGGGAATGCAGCATGCAGATGAGTGATTGCTGTATGGTAGCAGCAAATACATAAGGGTTTTTTTTTCTATATTCTATATTCTCAATTGCTTTGAAAATGGTGTAACTTTGGTTAAATCTGAGAATTAAATTGTAGGTTTTGGATCAAATTACATGCTATAGCATATCATTAGAAGGAGATAGAATGGAGTCCTTTGTCAGCATCATGACTAAGTGATCAGAATCCAAGCTAAGCTAGTATTCAAGTCCTAATGACCAGTTGCAAAACAAAGCAAACTGATCTGGGGTTAAAACACACATTCAGGTAAATGCATCTTTCCTGCTCTTAAAACGTTTTCTCCCTAGCAAATCTCTTTTGTTATTTATGTACTCTGCAATTAGACGTGCAAAGGAAGCTGTCATTTACAGATTAATTATTATTCCATTGGTAATGACACTTCTCCCTTTAATAGGTGATCAGTTGTTTTAATTTAAAAAGTGGAGAAAGGCTTGACATCATGTGGTACAGTAACCATTGATGCATTAATTAATATGCTCAGTAGCAATCTATGGCTTTTCTCTCTATAGATATTCCTTTCCTCTTTTTCCAGATTAGTGGACACAGTTTTGAGCACTGATTGTGCTAAAAATGAAACATTTCAAAATGTTTAGGATATATGGGAGAATTGATTGAGATATAAACTTTATGACGGAAAGGCAATAAAATAAAAGATGATTGAGCCTTGGACAAATTTACTACAGATATAGTTGCAAATATATGTGTACAAACTTGCCTTTTCCATTGGAGACAAATAGTATTATGGGGCCATCTTGCAGCAAAACAAAGAATTGCAATATTATATATGTAGTATGTTTACCTTAATAGTCTGTGGACCTTCTATTGACATTGTATCTGTAAATTTTGCTTTATGAAGCCCTAAGCAGATTTGCCTTAAATATGCTGCATATTCCTAGTTCAGTATTAACAAATTTGTCTGATCAGGCACAGGTGGTTCTTCTAATCTTTTTTAAAAGTTAAGCCCCAATAAGATCACAAGGACAAGACTGTGGGGATAATAGTCCTATTTTATTTGCCCTCCAATAGTCAGAAATATTTTGTTTCTCAGGTCTATTTACTGGATAGAGACTTCTGAAAATGTGCTGTACATAACCATTTGTTTGGGTGATGGTGATGGTAAGACTTTCCAGAATGAGGCTACAGCCAGGGAAGAGAGGAAACAGGCAGGAATTGACAAAGAAATTCAAGGAAGAAATATGTAGCTTTCAAAAAAAAAGTGATTCTTTTGTGTTTTTTGTGGTTGTGGTTGTCAAATCTATCCGCGTGGGGTAACCTTATTAATTAGACTTTTAAAGGGGAGTATTCTACATACTGGTAGCAAATCACTGATCAGAACAGCTGTTTCTGTATGGACCAGAATCCTTTTGGTGTTCACATAAGATTTGTATAACTTCCTGCAGCAAATAGGAGCTAATTGACAAGGTTGCTGAGTGTGTCTCAGTTACACAACTGGGCACATGGCTAGGTATGTGATCAAGAGGCACCCCAGCATCTTGTTAATTAGGTACAATTACCGATAACTTCCACACATTTTACTTGGAGTCCAAAATGGTTCCGGCCATTGTGTAATGAATTTCTGCTGAAAGTAAGATAGTAGAGATGGCTTTGTACTCAGAGATTTAAACATTAGAAGGAACTGCAATCTTTAGGCTGATTTATGTTTAAAGGAAAGATCTTGATTTATTGCCATTTTAAGAAATAGCAGGTAAAACACTTGTTATATTCTTTGAATTAAAGTATTTGGTAGAATACTACTTGTGCCTTTTATGTTTACAGAATGAATCCAGGGAGCACATAGTTGCCTTCAATATGTTAAACTACCGAGCATGCAAAAACCTGTGGAAATCTTGTGTAGAACATCACACATTTTTCCAGGCAAAAAAGATACTACCTCATGAAAAGAAACTACTTCCCCATTATTGGACTATGGGTTCTAGAACACCAACCAAGTGAGTACTATATATAATTTGAAGTAATATATCTCAGAATGCAATTAAAAAACAAACCCAAACTAATACATGTCTAGTCCGTAACTGTGCCATGAATAATTTAATGTTTAAAATCCAGAACTGGAAGAAGGTTTTGCCGCTATCATAAATGTTCTTGTGTTATAGGTTTCTGGTAGGATTCAACATGTAACCAGAAGCCTAGGTACCGTATCACAGGAAGCTTAGCTATTGTACCACAGACAGGTATCTTTGTACTGGGAAGCAAATAGAACCATATGGGAAAGTAAATTCCAGAGATTCTTGTTTAGACTAGAAAAAAATCTAATGTATTATCAGTTGTGGAACACAGAAACATCCTGCAGATTTGGACTACATTTTGGCACGTGAGCTTTGTTTTGCATGTAAAATTTAAGATTAGCAAATTAACAAAATTTGGGGTTTTCTGTTATACTTTAACTGGCTGCTGGATGGCCAGTATATAGCTACTACACACTAGGATATCAGTTTGAATGTTCTTATGATAAAAGCATGATTTTATTTTAGGAAATGAAATGCAGATTATCAGTAGTTTGTTACTGTGGTCTTCCAGTGGCCTGAACTGACCATGGAATAAAGAAACAAAATTTCAGTTTAATATATTCACGAAGGCTTTCACGGCCGGGATCTAATGGTTGCTCTGGGTTTTTCGGGCTCTTTGGCCATGTTCTGAAGGTTGTTCTTCCTGACGTTTCGCCAGTCTCTGTGGCCAGCATCTTCAGAGGTATGGAATAAAGGAACAAAATTTGAGTTATCTAGTGCCTGCCTTTCCCCACACTGGTGATTTAAATTAGTTTGGGTTTGAGTTATCCAGTGCCTGCCTTCCCCCACACTGGTGATTTAAATTAGTTTGGGTGACTCCTGTAACATTTATTTACTTTAGATAAATGTGAAATTGGCTGCCTTCTGTTCAAAAAAGATTATTGCCAAACTTGTGTCCTTTACTCAAGGTAATATATACTGTAATTAGCTATAATTAATTCTGGGTATTCTGGGATTCGGGCCAGAACATTTACTGTGTATTTGGCATAATTTTCAATAATATGATAAGACCCCAGTTCTAAAAACAATTGGTGGTTATGATATATAAAGGAAAAATATTTCTATGTTGTTAGGTGCTAGCTTGTATATATTGTTTGGTGTTGTTTGGGACATTCTAGAGAAGATGTGTAGTTATTTTCAGTCTCCTTCTCAAACAGAGGTCATAATGATTCTAAAACATTCCTATTTGTAATTAACTTGCCTATTCCCTGAGGCTGTTCACATAAAGACTGTTAAGGGAAGGGGAACTGTTCTGAGGATAACATCTGAAAATAGCCAAAGCCTGTCCAACAGTCACATATTTAAATGCCTTTTAAGATGGAGAGGAGAGATTGGTCTGGCCAGAAGGTGATGGTGACCATGATCCATTATTAGAGTAATAACTCCTAAAACTGGAAGAGTGTATCAGGAAACATGGAGAAATGCTTCATAGTTAGGTACTTGGAGAACTGAGCCACAGCAGTCAGCAGGGTGGTTTGTTATTTATGTTCTCCAAAGGGTGTGCTTGCATAAGTAGCAAGGTGTTTTCACCCTTAGTAGTTTTTTCCAAAAGCAGTTATGTAACAGTATGGCAAGTTATTGGAGACTACTGTTCAAAGGCAAATATTCTGATAATAAGTTGTGAGCAGCCTGGTTGTGACCAGATTGTATCAGGGTGGTGCCTTGGCCTGGTTCTGCAGTGTCCTCATATGTTAGAGTTTGGCTATTCTCTGTCAGTGGGTGGATAATATCCTAAAGGGGTTTGTCTTTTCTGTTTCCAGACAGAATATATGCAAATTAACTTCAGATACCTTTTAAAAATCCCTGACATTTGAAGGAGTAATTGACTCCTTCCAGTTGTTTGTTTTGCCTACTCCACAAAGGTCCCAGTTCTAGAGGGATTTTGATTTTTCTTTGTGGTATTTGTTGATCACACATGGGAGTGTGTGTCTGTGCCTGCACAAAATTTGCACCTGCACAAAACATTTGTTGGAACCTTCTAGAGATCAAAGCAAAAAGACTGTTAGGGCAGCCCCCTTTCACTGTGCATGTCCCTGTGCCTAGCAGTTTCCCCTCAGTTCCCTTTAGTGTTGCTGAGAGAACTTTTCAGAATGTGAGTCTACAGCCTTTTTCAGTTTAAACCTCAAATCTTACCTTTGGTCATTTGTCATTTTCCTTTTCAGCTTCTTTTGCCCCCCACACAAACGTTTGTTAGTTTATATTTATTATTCCCGATTGTTGTTAGAGGCTTTCCTGCCTTTTTATGACCCCGATGGGCCCATTTAAAAGGTGTGCCACATATAGAAACAAGATTCTCCTCACTGACAAGTTTATGTTTGTATTGCTGCAAGGATGTAGGGTTCCTGTCAGTGCAAGCCTCAGATATCCATGTGGAAGACTCCTTCCAGACAGCTGCGTATAGAGGTGATCTAGTCAGATGCCCACCCCACTGTTACCTGGGCCCTGAATGGTATTTCACCCATCCACCCTTTTTTGAATATTTTGGGGTACAATGAGAGAAACATTCTAGCTTTCTTCAGCATATACCATTGCACTCACCCATGCTATCCCTCTGGTATGGGAGTCTGGCACCAAAATTGCCAGAGAACGGGAATGGATGCTCCATGTCAAATCCTATGAAGCATGGGCAATCTAGCTTGGCTGGTTTATCAGAGGACTCAAGGGCTTAGATACGAGACCTTCCCTTTGACAGGGAAAGCCTATTCAATGAAAAGACTGATGATACAGTGAAAAAGCTGCACAAGAAGAGAAATGCAGCCAAAAGAATGGGTTTCTATGCATCATACCAACAAAGACAATTCCAACAATACTGGAAATGACCCTGCCCATATTCACCATCAAAATTCTTATCTGATTGCCAGAGGCCTCCACTATTATCAACCTCACAATGTTACAGGCAGTAGTCACACTGTCAGAAGTATGAACAACCAGTCGGCTCCAAATACCAAGAGAAAAAGACCAAACAGCACCCTTGACTGCTTACATACCAAGATCCACCTGCCATTGACTCCTACCACAAAGGACACCATTACACTACCTGGCATACTGTTACCAATAATGAATGGCTACTAACCATCATTGAATGTGGCTATGCCATAGAATTTATATCTCTCCTTTCAGCAGGTCTCTTCAGGCCCACAGCACCATCTCAAGTGTTATAGGAGGAGGTGACTATGCTACTAAAAAAGGATGCCATCAAGCCTGATCCTCTAGAAATGCTTTGCAGTGGTTCTACTCATGTTATTTCATGGTTCCAATTAAGAATGACCATCTGAGACCAATTCCAAATCTCAGAGATATAAATTCTTACATAGACTACCACTCCTCAAAAAGGGGACTGGTTTGCTTTCATTGACCTCAAGGGCACTTACTACCACATGACCATCCATTCTGAACATTGTTGTTTCCTATGTTCTTGTTAAACAATGATATCTATCAATTCAAGGCGCTTTTAGTCTTTCTACAGCATCCAGGCTTTTACAACGTGCATGGCACCAGTAGCTGACTACCTTAGATTCTGTGGTATTGTGATGTTCCCTTATACAGATGACTGGCTGATTGTAGCCAACTCCAGGGTCAAGGCAGAGAGAGATGTCCTCTTCAGACAGATCTCAAAATCTTTAAAAATCAAATTTAAAACCATATCAGACAGTTCATTACACTGGTGTATGACTGGACTCCACAGTACAGTTTGTTTGTTTGTCCGTCCATCCAGCTTCTATACTGTCCGTTTAGCTAAAAGGTCAATCTGGGTGGTTTACACTCAAAAAAATAAGACACAAAAACATAACCATTTAGGGCCTTGTTTAAGTCATCACCTTGAAGCTGGCACAGAAACAGACAGGTAGCCAGTGCAAGGAGACCAGTGTAGGGGATATATGTTGGTATTTCTTCACCCCATTCAGCAAGCTGGCCACCACATTCTGGACTTGCTGAAGTTTATATAGCAGCTTCATGGGCAGCCCACATAAAAAGCATTGCAGTCGTCTAATCTCAAGACTAACAGTACATGAACCAGTGTAGGACCCCGGTGTCAAGGTAGGGCCGCAGCTGAGCAATCTGCTTCAGATGAAAAAAGGCTACCCGGACCACCAGCACTACCTGAGACTCCATCGATAGCATGTCCAGGAGTACACCCAGATTGCGAACCTCACCCTTCACAGAAAGAGGAGCGCCACCGAACAAAAAGGAGTCCCCCAACCTGCAGACACTAGTGGCACCCACTCACAGGATCTCCATCTTGTCCTGATTCAGCCTCAATCAGTTATCCATCATCCATCCCAGCACGGCATCCAGGCAACGCTTAAGGGACGGGACAGCACCCACTGCAGAAGGATGAAAAGAGAGATAGAGCTGGGTTTCCTCTGCATATTGGTGACATGCTCCAAAACTCCTGATGACCTCCCCAGGGGCCTCATATAGATATTAAACAGTGATGACCTCCCCAGGGGCCTCATAGATATTAAACAGCAACAAGGAGATGATTGGCCCTTGAGGGGCTCCACATTTAAGAGTTGAAGGGGTGGATATTCTCTCCCTGAGCTGCCTCTCTGAGGATGGTCCTCTAGGAAGGAACTTTAAGAGTTGAAAGGGTGGATATTCTGTCCCTGAGCTGCACTCTCTGAGGATGGTCCTCTAGGAAGGAACAGAGCCAGGACAAAGTTGGCCACTGATCCCCAACCCAGAGAGCCTACCCAGGAGGATACTTCGGTTGACGGTATCAAAGGCTGCTGAGAGATCGATGAGAGCCAATTGACATTTTGCCCCTGTCAGTCTCCCTCAAAAGGTCATCTTGCAGGGTTAACAGTGCCGTTTCCATGCCATGATACAGACTGAACCCAGACTAGAACAGGTTGAGGGCTTTGGTCTCCTCCAGGAGTGCCTGTAACTGATCAGCCACTGCCATCTCCAGTAGTTTGCTTAGGAGTGGAACATTAGCGATGGGTGTATAGTTAATATCGTCCACAGCCTTTGAATGGATTGAATCGGACTCAACCAGCATGGCCGGTAGTCAGGGATTAAAGTTGTCACCACCCTGGAGAGCATCACATTGAAGAAGGCTGTCTTGTATAAAGTTACAACTCACCCTGTCTACTTCTAGGATAGTGCTTTTGGATATTGGTTTGCTGTCTGCTCCTGTTTCCAGTGATTGAGAAAAAAGTTTTCTATACAACATGAGTTTCACAGATCAAAATGTATGCTATCTGAAGGCTCTTATTTCCCCATATAAACCTCTGTAGTTCCAAGACTGTGCTAATCATTGCCATGTAACAAGTTTGGTATTTGTAAACATATTGTTGCCAGTAGCCTGGAATATTTGGCATATGTGGCTCTTTGTTTTAGGTAGCAATCAGTGGGTTCTAACAGTGGAGTTCCTGAAATGCTTGTTGTTGTGGGTCTTGAATAATCTTGTGTTAACTTCTGCTTTGCTGTGAAGGCAAACTAAAATAGATCCCTTTCACCTCACAAATGAAACACGAAGCTCTCTTTTATTTTCTTGTGCTGAAAATACTTTATCTAAATAGTGTGTTGTTTCATTTCAGATCTTCTAATAATCAGTGCTGTAGAAAAGTAATAGGTGGCATGATTTGGAATCCAGCTATGAGGAGATCGTTATCTGTTGAACATCTAGAGACCAAAAGCCTTCCGTCTCGGTCTCCTCCAGTTACCCCAAACTGGTAAGGTATTGTTCAGATCTTTAAAAATCTGAAGTAGGCTGGAGCGTAAAGCACAGATTGTATTTGTATGAAGCTTTCTTCTTTTTATAGGATAAGTAGTCATTAGTGTGAGGGTAAGGTTGTCCTCTAGTTCCAGACAGTGGACAGATGTTTGAAGGCTGTCCACTGTTCTGGCTGTGTGACCACCTGTCAGGCTTGAGGTAACCAGCTCAGCTGCCCCTCCACTCTGAAACTGGTGTTGCTGAATGCCAGATCTGTATCCAATACTGTAAGTCCCAGATGATCTACGTTCTTATTCTGGAGAATGATGCAGATCTGGCCTGCATAACCAAAACTTGGATGGGCAATGACGGGTATTCCTCAGTCCCTTGCCTGTCCTTCAGGTTATGCTGTCCAATACTAGAGGAGACCGAGGGGACAGAATGTGTGTGGCCATTGTTTATTGAAGCACTCTGGAGGTTGTTGGCTTCTCTACTGTGATGACACCTGGTCTGGAGGCTCTTCATGTGTTGATTGGGGACAGGGATGGTATTGGGATCTTGCTGGTCTACCGTGCTCCCCTTGATTCAGCCATTTCCTTACCAGAGCTGGCGGACTTCGTCTCTGCAGCTCTGTTGGGATCCCCGAGACTACTCGTCTTGGGTGATTTCAACATACATGAGAAGATGGAGGTTTCCGGTCCAGTTCTTGATTTCCTGGGAACCATGACTTCCTTGGACATGTCCCAAAATGTTAACACTCGTCTTGGGTGATTTCAACATACATGCGGAGATGGAGGTTTCCGGTCCAGTTCTTGATTTCCTGGGAACCATGACTTCCTTGGACATGTCCCAAAATGTTAACGGCCCCATCCACGTAGGTGGTCATATGCTAGACTTGGTGTTCTCTTCTGAGCAGAGGGAGTGTGGTCTGATGGTGACTAACCTTGTGTCCATCCCTTTGTCATGGTTGGATCACCACCTAATAAAATGCAATCTCACAGTGGCTCTCCTCCACCCAGGGGGAGCAGGGACCTATTTTAATGGTCCACCCTCTCAGGCTACTGGATCCCATAGGATTCCAGGACTCCATGCCAGGGATACCGTCTGGTGCTCCTGTCAAGGCTCTGGTTGAGGGTTGGTTCACCACCACCACCAGGGCTATAGACACGATAGCTCCTGAACATCCTCTCTGTTGCAGAGCTTGACCAGCTCCCTGGTTTAACCAGCAGCTGAGAGCTATGAAGCAGAACAGGAGAAGACTGGAGAGCATTTGGAGGCAGAACCTGATGGAAAATAACCTAAAAGCTGTTAGGATTGTGTCCAATCTTTACCTTAAAGGTTGCAAAGAAAGCTTACTTCTCTGTCCAGATAAACGAAGGTTCTAACCAGCAGGTGGAATTATTCAGCATAGTATGTGATCTATCCAGAATTGCTCACAGTGATTGGCCTCTCTGTAGTATCTCACCTGACCAATTTGCAGCATTTTTTAAAGCTAAAGTGGAGGCCATCCGCCAGGACCTAACCCCCTATTTGAAACCAGTACTTACATCACTGTCCGGATAAGCGAAGCTTCCAATGAGCAGGCAGAAATATTGCACATAGTACGCAATCTATCTGGAATTGGTCATAGTGATTGGCCTCCCCCTAGTATCTCACCTGACCAATTTGCAGAATTTTTAAAAACTAAAGTGGAGGCCATCCGCCTGGACCTAAGCCCTTATTTGAAACCAGTAGATCAAGCTGATACATCTTGAGCTGGGACATCCAGTGCACTGTCTTATGCAATGAGAATTACTCACTTTCAGCTGGTGACGTCACTTGAGGTTGACAAGGTAAAAGCCAAATAAATAAATAAGTAAGTAAGTAAG